CCGCCCGGACTCTGCCCTCCCAGCTCCCCGTGCCAGGGTCCCTGGCGGCATCTGGCACACTCAGGCCACGAGCTCACCCCATCGGCACCACACAAATCCTCCCTTCCGGGAAACCGTTTTAGGCACGAACCGGACCTCGCTTCCCACGGATCGCAGCTCAGGGAAATGGGTCTTCGTGTCCAGAAGGCAGCCCTTGAAGAAGAGCGCTCCGAGGAAAGCACTTATTTTCTTCCGGGGGGCTCAGACTACCGAGGGTGATGTGGTTTGTGCCTTTTCATCCCTCGATGTTTTCCTGTTTAGTTTCAAAACTAAAATGTTTGAGATATACACATATATAGATGTATTTGCTCCGTGGCTTCTACTGTAAGGAACAATTGTCTGTTTTTGTTTTTTACCAGAGATTGGGTTTCTTCAACGTGGAAACAGAAGCCTATCTTGAGCAAGCCTTCAATTGAATGATAAATCTGGATTACATGAGGGATATTTTTAGGTATTTTGGTGTTTAACTTAAAATCACATGTTTCCTTAGTTATGGACCACTATGTTTTACATGTACTGCAATAAATTTTTTACGATTTCAAACCTTTGCCACTGAGAATATATAAATCTCCTTGCGCGTGTTCTTTGGTGTCCTGAATCTTTTATTCATCCTTTATTTTCCTATTTCCGTTATTCCTGTTTTTACTCTATGCTTCTTCGTTGTTCCAACTTTAAAGTGATTTACCTATATACCTAGAATGCACAGTGGTGTAAGTGCACACATCAAGAAAATGTTCACAAAATATACAAACCCAGGTAACCAGCAGTGCAATCAAGCCCAAGGATATTTCTATCGTGCTACTTTGTAATCCCTACACCACCACCCAATATCAAAACCTTGAATTTATATCTCTTAAGTAATTCATTTTGGCAATTATATTGAGCTTTGTATCTCATTATCTGATTTGTTGTGCCTAGTCATAAAGTTTTCTACTTGCATTGTCCACCACTGCTTTTTCAGTCTTACTCCATCGGCCATCCTTAATAATATAGCCTGATATACATGGATGACACTGAATGGGCTACAATGGCCAGAGCCCTGGCAGTGAGAACTTTGAGAGTCAATGCCCTTTGCACAGTGAACATGAAGGCATTTTCTCCAAGGGAAACCCACCACTTGAAGAGAAAGGAGAAGAGGGAGGACCCTATAAAGGATGGAGGAAAAGAGGTCCATGAAGTCCCAGGAGGGCTCTCAGAGGAGAAAAGGAAGCTTTCAGATTCTCCTTTGTGAAGATTAGGGTTGGGAGGCGGCACTAGCGTTTGCGCATGCAATTCCTTCTATCTGAAATGCTGTCTAAGTTAGCTCTTGTGCATCTTTCAGATGTCAATTTAAATGTTCTTTCTTCAGGAAAAGTTTCATAATTTCTAAGACTAGATTACAAGCCCTCATGGCACTATGTATCTTTTCCTCAAAGCACTTATCATAGCTATAATTTTACATTTTTTGTGTGTGCTTATTTGCATAATACTGGTCTTCTCACCTGGATCCTAAGCTCCCTGAAAGTAAAGGCCTTGTTTAAGCTTTTTTCCCATCCTTGTATCCACAATGCCTAACGTAGTTCCTGGCAAATAGTAGATATGCAACAAACATTTGTTGACTGAGTAATGAATTATTGAACCAATGAACGAGAAGGCATTGATATACCGGATCACACAGTTCTCTTTCCTTTTCTGGTAAAACCTTACACAAGATCAGATTGTAGGACATTTCCTAGAGAGTATTGTAAAAAATTCTTCGTAGTCAAGAGTCAAAATACAGGCTAGCTTAGGGGACAGAATCTCAGGTACCTAAAATTATATATATGGTAGAGTCAGCTGACACCAGAGGAGACAATAGAGTTTATAAAAAGCAGAGACAATGTTCCAGGAGTTTCTTTGATATTACAATTTTTTTACTCACTTGAAAAATGTCAACATATACAAAAACTCACATGTAAATACACAACCCACACACTGATCCTTACAGTCTTTACAAATTCAATCAAGTATAAGATTTTCTCTTTTCCTGTTATCCTGGACTAGGAGATTGACTGACTCTACCATGTGGAGAAATGATGGAACTTCTTTGGTAAATTGAAAAGTTCCTGGTCACCACGCCATGTCCTATTCTCACCAACCTCCTTTATCTCCCTCATTTTCTCTTTTCTGTTTCTCTCTCCTTCGCTTCCCTTCCTCCTCTGCAGTGTAGGGAATGTCCTTACCCCACCTCTCCTATGCTTTTCCATCCAGTTCTTTTTCTAAATACTACCCCCTGTAAAGTCTCTCTTATGATGTCTGGTCAATTACTAGAATCAAGGTGGCTCAGAGAACTGTTAAAATTTAGAACAGCATTTTTTTTTTTTTCTGAGGAAGATTTGCCCTGAGCTAACATCTGTGCCCATCTTCCTCTATTTTGTATGTGGGTCACCACCACAGCATGACTGAGTGGTGCAGGTCCGTGCCTGGGATCCGAACCTGCTAACCCAGGCTGCTGAAGCAGAGTGAGCTGAACCTAACCACTACACCAGGGGCTGGCCCCAGCATTTTTTTTTTTTTGCTGGGAAAGATTCACTCTGAGCTAACATCTGTTGCCAACCTTCCTCTCTCTTTTTTTTCCTCCCCAAAGACCCAGCACATAGTTGTATATTTTAGTTGTAAGTCCTTCTAGTTCTTCTATGTGAGCCTCCACCACAGCATGGCTACTGACAGATGAGTGGTGGGGTTCCGCCACCTGGAACGGAACTGGAGCCACCAAAGCGGAGCACGCTGAACTTTACTTGCTAGGCCATCAGGGCTGGCTCTAGAACAGCATTTTTATAATAGATATGTTGGGTTTGTTTGGATTCGTGAGGCAATACTGATGCTGTTAAAGAGAAACCTGGAGAAACTGGCCTGTCTCTCTTCTCTCAGAACTGTGAGGAGACAGAGAGCAGAGAGCTATTTTTACAAATGTAAGCATTGGACCTGATTGGACTGTAATATCAGACACGATTAAAGTCAGGACTATATCTAGGAGGATGGGAAGCAACTGCTCACACCCAAAAGATGAGGATCCAAGAATACTCTGTCAGGGACACAGGGTATGGGGCTGTGTCCCAAGTAGATGAAGAAGAATCTCAATCGAGCAACTATCCTCCAATTTTTCCTGAGTCTTTGGTTTTCTATTGCTGCATAACAAATTATAATTAACTTTACTATATTAAAACAATACAAATTTATTATCTCAGAGTTTCAGTAGGTCAAAAGTCTGAGCATGGCATGGCTGGGTGTTCTGCTCAAGGCCACATAAAGCTGAAATCAAGATGTTGGCTGGGCTGTGTCCTAATCTAGAGGCTCCACTAGAGAAAGATATGCTTCCAAGATCCTTTAGCTTGTTAGCAAAAATCATTTCCTTGCAGTTGTAGGACTGATGTCCTTGTTGTCTTGTTATTTGTAGACCAGAAACCACTCTTTGCTCCCAGAGGCTGCTCTCAGGTCCTTGCCATGCAGCCCCATCACATTGGAATTTCTGACATCTGGAAGGGTCCAGTCCCTTTTAAGGACACACCCGATTAGGTCAGGCCCATCCAGAATTATGTCCATTTTTATGAATTTGAAATCAACTGATTTGGGATCTAATCATCAGCTTGATGTCCCATCAAATCACAGGTTCCTCCTGCACTGAGAGAGAGGTGTACATCTCACAGAGCTGTGTGCATCTCACAAAGATGTAACACCAGGGGGCAGAGATAAGGGGGGCCATATTAGAATTCTGCTTATCCCAATATTTGTAACATACTTGGCTAGGCCCTAGAGTTGATTCCCGAAGACTAGAGAAAGCATTGTTGGGATTGTTTGAGAATAAACGGGAAACATACCACAGTGATTTGTTGGACAAAAATAAAATTGTTAGAAAAAACATTCAGTAATAGGATGGGGAGACTAGGCAGAAACCTTCCTGAGATTAGGTGGCCTGAGGAGTCTTTCTTATGAGTTCAGTGAAGATGCACTGAGAATTGTATTCAGACAAAATATTGAGAGGACAAGGAGAGCAGATGCAACCACTGCTGACTGAGGGATAACTAGTCGTTCATTCATCTAAGCGAAAGGTGCAAAACAGGGTATGTTTGACTCTGGAAAAAGGAACAACGTATTTGGGATAACTCCACCAGCCTTCTGCCCCAGTGTAAATTCCAGCAGGGCGAACAAAGCCTACGTCTCCCTGAGTCTCCACTCTTTCCCCATTACCTAGCATAGTACAGCAACCTAGTCTGCACACAGTAAAAGGTCAACAAATAAGTGTTAAATGAATTATATTGAGGCATGAGATAGCGCATTGAGAAATTATTTCTGCTCCAATTGCTTGCTTATTTGGCTGAAATATCTCCTTCAAACCTCGGTTCTCACTGAGGAGTGATGTGTTCCCTTAACCTACTGCTTCATTTTTTTCTCATTGTTCGTATATCATAAATGAAAAGACGTCATGTATTTCAAAGATTAGCGTTCTCTCCTTATAAAACAATGGTATCTGCCCGATCGGGCTTTTTCTCCTTTGTCCCTCCGATTTCTCTTATTATCCTAGCTGTCTGGAGTCTGCGCTGGGCATTTCGATTCCCGGTCTCCCGGCCGCTGTCTGCACTGCCTGATTCGGAAAAGCAACTCTGAATCCTGTATTCATGGAGTGAAAGCTCTGAGCGCCGGGGGTGGGGTGTCAGGCCCGGTGATGCACTCCGCAGGAAGTAAGTGAGCCCACCTCCCGCCCACTCGCATCTCACCGCTCCAGGACCCCCTGAAGAAGCCCGCGGCCGCCCGCCTCCGAGCCTGCCGCGAGCGGTGGTCTCTTCTGTACGGCGGAGCCTGGGTCAAGATGGCCGCGCCCGCGCGGTTCCCAGGGGCGCCGCCATCGCAGCCGCCGGACGCTCTGGGGCCGCGCTCGGGTGGACGCCACGTCGGCCTCCGGCTGCGCTCCGATCCCGACAAAGCTGGAGACCGAGGACCCGAGGAGGAGTGCGGGAACGGCCGAAGAGGCCGGGAGTCCGGCCGAGATGGCCGTGTCGGAGCCCGGGGGCAGCGCGGCGGTGAGCGCGATGATGGGGCGGGGCGGTCGGGTGTCAGAGATGGTCTAATTGGGGGTCGGTGATTGGAGGGTTACTGTGGTCCCTGAAGATAAGTGATATGGGAATTGGTGGAGGCGATGCTGAAGGGCCTTTTGTGGCGTTAGTGTTCTGAGGGATCTGTGGGCGATGGTGAGGAGGCGGTTTGTGGGGACAGTGAATGCTACGTTTAAGGAAATCAATGTTTTGAGGGATCTGCGGTGACAGTGATGGGGGAGGGGAGTCTGTGGCAGTCACTGAAAGATCAGGCTTTGAAAACCTCTGGGGATCAGAAATTGGGGGCTTTGCAATGTGTCAGAGATTGGAGAGGTCTTTGGCGGTCGGCAATTTGGGATGTCTGTGGAAGCCAGCAATTCTGGGTGCCTATGGTGGTTAGAGGCTGGATTGTCCCTGTCTGTGTGCAGAGGTGCAAGGAGGCCAGTTAGGACTTTATTGCAATAGTTAAAGGGAAGAGATGATGACGTTTTAGAAAGGGTTGTAGCAGTGAAATGGAAAGAAATCAGGTTCATAATACAACTGGAGATGAGCCAATAGAATTTACTGATGAGCTGATATGGAACAAGAGGGAAGAGAAGAGTCAAGATTTGCGTCTAGGGGCCGGCCTCTGGCGCAAGCGGTTAAGTGCGCGCGCCCCGCTGTGGTGGCCCGGGGTTCGCCGGTTCAGATCACAGACGCGCTGCTTGGAAAGCCTTGCTGTGGCGGCCTCACATACAAAGTGGAGGAAGATGGGCACGGATGTTAGCCCAGGGCCAGTCTTCCTCAGCAAAAAAAGAGGAGGATTGGCAGATGTCAGCTCAGGGCTGAGCGTCCTCACAAAAGAAAAAAAAAAACGATTTGCGTCTATACTTTTGGCCTGAGGAATTGGATAGATTGTGATTCCATTTTCTGAGAAAGGGTTGCTCACTGTTGGGTTGGAGAAGACTAGATTTGGTAGATGGAAATGGGAGCCAGGATGGATGACAGTGGTTCTGTTTTGCCCATGTCAAGATGCCCACTACACATCCAAGTAAAGATGTTGAGTTGCCGTTAGATGTATGCATCTAGAACGTAGGAGAGGTCTGGGCATATTTGAAAGGAATCAACATAAAGATGGTATTTAAAGCCGTAAGACTGGATGAGATCACCTAAGGAGAGAAGGCAGATAGGGAAGAAAAGAGGGCCAAAGACAGAGTTCTAGATCACTCTGACATTTAGAGGTCTGGTAGAGGACAAAAAACAAAAAAGGAGCATGAGGGGTAGCCACTGAGGTAGGAAGAAAACTGTGTAAATGTGGTGTCAAAGACTCATAGAGAAGAAAGCTTTTCAAGATAATGGGAGTAGTCAGTTGTGTCACCTGCTCTTGTGAGTCCCGGAAATATGACTACAGAGAATTTGACTTTGGCAAGACATAGTTCACTGCTTATTTTGATTGACTAGAGCTCTTTCAGTGGAGTGACAGGGATAAAATCTCGTTGGGATGAGTTGAAAGAATGGGAGGGAGTGAATTAGAGATAGCAAGTACAGACAACACTTACCAGGAGTTTTGTTGGTAGAGAGAGCAGAGAAATGGACACTGGATGGGACATGAGATCAAGGGAAGGTTTTCTTCAGGTGGATGATATTCAGGCAACTTTGTATGTCAATGGGAATGATCCGGTAGAAAGGGAGAAATAGATGGTATGAAAGAGAAAGGTTAATTGCAAGGGTGAAGTCCTTGAGAAGGCAGTTGGGGATGGGATCCAGAGCACAAGTGGAGAAATTGGCTTTAGGTGAGAGAAAGGACATTTCCGTTTTAACAGAAGGGAAGGCAGATTATATGGCTTTGGAAACAGGTAGGTGAAATTGGTGGTAACAAGGCAAGGTAGTTCTTGTCCATTTGCATTTATTTTCTCTTTGATGTATAAGGCAAATTCATCAGCTGAGAGTGGGAAAGGAGTAGATGTTGGAGAGTTCAGAGAGAAGGAAGAGAGTGTTTGGAATAATCATCTTGGAAAGAGGAATCGGATGCTGACAATACTGGATGCCTATTTGAGATATGTGTTATCAATCTGAAGTGAGTCCAGTTAGCACAGTTGTTTGATTTTTCTCTTGTGATGTTCAACTGCAAGGTTGCAGGCAGAGATTAAGAGGAGAGTTGGGTTTGACCAAGGTGAGGCTTTGCTAGGTGAGTACAATGGAGGAGAAGAGGGGTAAGGAAGTAAAGCTATTTTCAATGGAGTGTGTATGGTGCTAGAACAGGGAATCTAAACAAGACAGAAGAAAAGTAAGGCTCTATGGCAGTGGGAGATTGTGAAAAAGTGGTTAGGATCAATGGATCAGAGGGCTCAATGAATTTGGAGAATTACTGAAATGGAAGTATTAGAGAAAGGGAGCTGGCAGGAGAGGAAATAATGGTTAGAGGGTAGAGTGTGTTAAGTAGAGATTTTGGAGGTGATAAATTGATGGCAAGTTCTAAGGAATGGTTGGATATGAGTAGGTGGCTGAGTTTGGGTGGAAGAAAAGATAGTTGGAGTCAGGAAAGAGAGGCCAGGGTGTTGAATGGCTCCTCTGCGTTGATGTCGAGATAGTGCAGGCGCTGTGGTGAAGGGGAAGCTTGTGCTCAAGTTTTCAGGGAAAGAGGCAGAATGACTGTGCAGAAAAGTTAGCATTACAGGCCTAAAAGTATCCTTGGAAAGGCCTGCTTGCAAGCTTGACTTTTGGCTGGCATCCTAGAACTTAGATTTCAGGAGGGTTCCCTCCATTCCCAGAACTGATAAAGGTGGCTCACTGTGCCTAAACTATGTAACCAATGTGGCTTATGCTGAACACCTGCTTTCCTTCTAGGACTCTGGGATTTTTGTACAGGCAGAAGGTACCTACCTGACCAGCCCCTCAGAATAACCCTGGGCACTGAGTCTCTAATGAGCTTCCCTGGTAAACAGCATTTCACACGTGTTATCACAGTTCATTTCTGGAGGAATTCAGTATGTACTGTGTGACTCCACTAGGAGAGGACTCTTGGAAACTTGTGCCTGGTTTCCTCTGGACTTCACCCCAAGCACCTTTTCCCTTAGCTGATTTTGCTTTGTATTCTTTTGCTGTAATAAATCATAGCTATGAGTACAACTAGATGCTGAGTCCTGTGAGTCTTCCTCAAACCAGAGGGCTAATGGGTTAAAGTCTGGTGACACTATAAACAAGCTAGGGATTTTGAAGGATAATGAGAAATGATTGAAAGTAATCATTTACCGCATCCTCAGGCCCTGAGGTACATGGATTATGGGGGAGTTGGGGGGACAAACAGCTTCCACTGGGGAGCACTGTAAGGGAGTAGGATCCTTAGGAGACAGGTAGATTTTGGTTAAAGCAACCCCAGGCTGCTAAAGCGGAGCGTGCGAACTTAACCACTATGCCACCAGGCTGGCCCTGTCTCTTATGACTCTTATAAGGGCACTAATCTCATTCATGAAGACTCTACCCTCGTGACATCATTTAATCCTAATTACCTCCCAAAGGCCCTTTCTCCTAATACCATCACATTGAAGGGTAGAGTTTCAAAATATGAATTTTGGGAAGACACATTTAGTTCATAACAGGGGCATTTCTTAATGTGATTTTTGTTTCTCAAAAAAAATGCAAAATTGGTTAGAGAATAGGTATCCTATACAATATCATGATCAACAGTGAATGGTCAAGGTAAGAACAAGTCATTATTATCTTGTCCAAATCACTCGCTAATGTGGATAACATTAGACTGAACAGGAATACGTTATTACAGGGATCGGTAACATTCAAAGATGTGACTATGGCCTTTACCCAGAAGGAATGGGAGCAACTGGATCCTTCTCAGAGGAGCCTATACAAGGATGTGATGCTGGAGAACTACAGCAACCTTGCTTCAATGGGTAAGGACCGTTCCTTCATAATTCAAAATGTGTCCACTGTGATACCTTCTCTCTGAAGTCTTGATTTTTATGGATCAAAGAGTTTTAATCCCTTTTGGGTACTAGGCAGGATACTTGTGCCCCTGCCTTCACAAAGGAAGGTCTACTCAGATGAGGTATGTGGGCATCCGCATTGTGAAATTTCAGAAACCGTGTATTCTTTATCCTTTAAACACTCTGAAACTCAAATGTTAGGGCTTGATTTCTGGGATGGTGGTTGTTCTACACTCAATTTCTACCATTTCTCATGAGCAGGATTTCAAGCTCCCAAACCGGCCATGATCTCCAAGTTGGAAAAAGGAGAAGAGCCATGGTTGGGGAAGGGGAAAAGACCCAGTCAAGGTGGTCCGAGTGAAATAGCAAGACCCAAGCAAATAGGAGCCAATGGAAGTAAGTCCGTAGTTTCTTGGTGGTAACTTTGGAATTCTTCAAAGAATAATTTATCCTTAGATTCTTCTTAAAGATCCCAGACCCTTCTTTCTTAGCCAGAAAGTAGCAGTATAAAAATATCAGAATCTCCTGGGGGAAGAGGACTTCACGCTACAAAGATTCTCTAACCTTGGAGATTCTAATATCTTATCCTTCTATAAACTTGTCCACGTCAGAGGTTCTCATATGAAGTTACTATAGACATAAGCCAGTGTTACCTGTGGGAGTTTGCTTTTACCAGTTGTATCAGTCAGCTTAGGCTAAGTTATGCTCCATTAAGGGATGACCCCAAAATCTTGGTGGCTAACAACAAGAGACATTTGTTTTTTGCTCAAGCTGCAGCCTTATTCCACATTATATTGTGGAACTACAGTGGAAGAGTAGTCTCTGCTGGGCAAATTCTGGTCTCATGGCAGAGGGAAAGAAGAGTGTGGAACCACATGATGACTCTTAAAATCATTGATTGGAAGTGGTAGATATCTCTTTCTGCTCATTTTATTGGTTAGAGCAGATGACCCGGTCACTCCTGAGTTCAACAGGATAGGAATGTATAATCCTTCCATAGGGAATAATAATACAGTCTGCCACATCACTCAGGTTGTGGTAGGAAAAAAGGTGAAGACCAGGGCTCTAAACCTTTGGTACCAGCACCTCAGGTGCCTAACTGACCCGTCCATATAACTGTCTTTCCTCTTCCATGCTCTCTATAGCTCAGCTTTGTGAAGGAGCAGTGACCTCTCTTAGCTGTTCTCTGAATCCCATTCCTGCTTACCTTATCTAAAGCAGTGCTTTTTAAAATTATCCTCCTTTTTCCTAATATCCTCAGTTTTTATCCCTTCCTCCACCCACACTCTGAGAACCCATGGTCTCAAATTTCTCTCCTTATATATTCAGACATTCTTAGATCTGTCCTCTTTCCACATCTGTTGGCAAGATGCTCCTGTCCCTAATTAATTTCCATTTCCCTCCTTTCACTGTGAAATGCTCTAGACCTGTGGTCTATAATGCGTCTTCATTTCCATTTTCTCCTTAACCCCTGCAGGCAAATCCCACAGAATTCATGCCTCTATCTGAATGTCTGACTTTAAAGAGACCAATGCTTACCTTCCAGTGCATATTTATATATTTTTTTCTTTTATTGAGGTCATAATAGTTTTTAACATTGTGAAATTTCACTTGTACATTATTATTTGACAGTCACCATAAATATGTGCCATTTTATCCCTTATGCCCACCCTCCAACCCCCTTCCCCTCTGGTAACCACTAATCTGTTCTCTGTGTCCATGCCTTTGTTTATCTTCCACATATAAGTGGAATCATATGGTGTTTGTCTTTCTCTGCCTGGCTTATTTTGCTTAACTAAATACCCTCGAGTTCCATCCATGTTGTTGCAAATGGGATGATTTTGTCTTTTTATATGACTGAGTAGTGCTCCATTGTATATATACACCACATCTTTATCCATTCATCAGTTGATGGGCACGTGGATTGCTTCCATGTCTTGGATATTGTGAATAATGCTGCAATGAACATAGGGGTGCATAAGTCTCTTTGATTTGTTGAGTTCAAGTTCTTTGGATAAATATCCAGTAGTGGGATAGCTGGGTCGTATGCTATTTCGATTTTTAATTTTTTGAGAAATCTCCATACTGCTTCCCATAGTGGCTGCACCAGTTTGCTTTCCCACCAGCAGTGTCTGAGGGTTCCCTTTTCTCCACATCCTCTCCGACATTTGTTGTTTTTTGTCTTGGTAATTATAGCCATTCTAACAGGTGTAAGGTGATATCTCATTGTAGTTTTGATTTGTATTTCCCTGATGATTAGTGACGTTGAACATCTTTTCATGTGCCTATTGGCCATCTGTATATCTTCTTTGAGAAAATGTCTGTTCATATCCTCTGCCCATTTTTTGATCGGGTTGTTTGTTTTTTTTGTTGTTCAGTTGTGTGAGTGCTTTATATATTTTGGGGATTAACCCCTTGTCGGATACACGATTGGTAAATATTTTCTCCCGTTGGTGGCTTGTCTTTTTGGTTTGTTCCTGGTTTCCTTTGCCTTGCACAAGCTCTTTAGTCTGATGAAGTCCCGTTTGTTTATTTTTTCTTTTGTATCCCTTGCCTGAGTAGACATGGTATTTGAAAGATCCTTCTAAGACCAGTGTCAAAGAGTATAGTGCCTATATTTTCTTCTAGGAGTTTTATGGGTTCACGTCTTACCTTCAAGTTTTTAATCCATTTTGAGTTAATTTTTGTGTATGGTGAAAGATAATGGTCTACTTTCATTCTTTTGCATGTGGCTGTTCAGTTTTCCCACCACCATTTATTGAAGAGACTTTCCTTTCTCCATTTTATGTTCTTAGGTCCTTTGTTGAAGATTAGCTGTCTGTAGATGTGTGGTTTTACTTCTGGGCTTTCAATTCTGTTCCATTGATCTATGTGTCTTTTTGTACTAGTACCATGCTGTTTTGATTACTATAGCTTTGTAGTATATTTTGAAGTCAGGGATTGTGATGCCTCCAGCTTTGTTCTTTTTTCTCAGGAGTGCTTTTGCTATTCAGGGTCTTTTGTTGCCCCATATAAATTTCAGGATTCTTTGTTCTATTTCTGTGAAGAATGTCATTGGGATTCTGATTGGGATTGCATTGAATCTGTAGATTGCTTTAGGTAGTATGGACATTTTAACTATGCTTATTCTTCCAAAACATGCATGGAACATCTTTCCATTTCTTTATGTCATCATCAATTTCTTTCAATAATGTCTTATAGTTTTCATTGTATAGGTCTTTCACCTTGGTTAAATTTACTCGTAGGTATTTTATCCTTTTTGTTGCTATTGTAAGTTGGATTGTATTCTTGAGTTCTCTGTTAGTTCATTATTAGAGTATACAAATGCACCTGATTTTCGTAAGTTGATTTTGTATGCTGCACTTTTGCTGTAGTTGTTGATTATTTCCAATAGTTTTCCAATGCATTCTTTAGGGTTTTCTCTATATAAAATCATGTTGTCTGCAAACAGCGAGAGTTTTACTTCTTCCTTGCCAATTTGGATACTTTTTATTTCTTTTTCTTGCCTAATTGCTCTGGATAAAACCTGCAGTACTATGTTGAATAAGAGTGGCAAGAGTGGGCACCCTTGTCTTGTTCCCATTCAAAGGGATGGCTTTCAGATTTTCCCCATTGAGTAGGATGTTGGCTGTGGGTTTGTCATATATGGCCTTTGTTATGTTGAGGTACTTTCCTTCTATATCCATGATATTGAGAGTTTTTATCATAAATCATTGTTGGATCTTGTCACATGCTTTCTCTGCATCTACTGAGATGGTCATGTGGTTTTTATTCCTCATTTTGTTAATGTGGTGTATCACATTGACTGATTTGCGGATGTTGAACCATCCCTGTTTCCCTGGTATAAACCCCACTTGATCATGGTGTATGATCTTTTTAATGTATTGCTGTATTTGGTTTGCCAATATTTTGTTGAGGATTTTTGCGTCTATGTTCAGCAGCGATATTGGCCTGTAATTTTCCTTCTTTGTGTTGTCCTTGTCTAGATTTGGTATCAGGGTGACATTGACCTTGTAGAATGTGTTAGGAAGTGTTCCATCTTTCTCAATTTTTTGGAATAGTTGGAGAAGGATGGGTATTAAATCTTCTTTGAATGTTTGGTAGAATTCTCCAGAGAAGCCATCTGGTCCTGGACTTTTATTTTTTGGGAGGTTTTTGATTACTATTTCAATCTTTTTGCTTGTGATTGCTCTATTCAGTCTCCCTATTTCTTCTTGGTTCAGTTTTGCAAGGTTGTATGAGTCTAAGAATTTATCTATTTCTTCTAGATTGTACAATTCATTGGCATATAGTTTTTCATAGTATTCTCTTATAATCCTTTGTATTTCTGTGATATCCATTGTAATTTCTCCTCTTTCATTTCTAATTTTATCTATTTGAGGCTTCTCTCTTTTTTTCTTAGTGAGTCTTGCTAAGGGTTTGTCAATTTTGTTTATATTCTCAAAGAACCAGCTCTTAGTTTGATTGATCTTTTCTACTGTTTTTTTGGTTTCGATTTCATTTATTTCTGCTCTAATTTTTATTATTTACCTCCTTCTGCTGACTTTGGACTTTGTTTATTCTTCTTTTTCTAGTTCTGTTAGGTGTAGTTTAAGACTGCTTATTTGAGATTTTTCTTGTTTGTTAAGGTGGGCCTGTATTGCTATGAAGTTCCCTCTTCGGACCGCTTTTGTTGCATCCCATATGAGTGGTATGGTGTATTTTCATTTTCATTTGTCTCCAGATATTTTTTTTATTTCTCCTTTAATTTCTTTAATGATCCATTGGTTGTTCAGTAGCATGTTATTTAGTCTCCACATGTTTGTCACTTTCCCAGCTTTTTTCTTGTAGTTGATTTCTAGTTTCATAGCATTATGGTCGGAAAAGATGCTTGATATGATTTCAATCTTCTTAAATTTATTGAGGCTTGCCGTGTTTCCCAACATATGATCTATCCTTGAGAATATTCCATGTGCACTTGAGAAGAATGTGTATTCCGCTGTTTTTGGATGGAGTGTTCTATATATAACTGTTAAGTCCATCTGGTCTAGTTTTTCATTTAGTTCCACCATTTCCTCATTGACTTTCTGACTGGATGATGTATCCATTGATGAAAGTGGAGTGTTAAGGTCCCCTACTATTACTGTGTTGTTGTTAATATCTCCTTTTAGGTCAATTAATAGTTGCTTTATGTTCTTTGCTGCTCCTGTATTAGGTACATATATATTTAAAAGTGTTATATGTTCTTGGTGGAGTGTCCCTTTTATCATTATATACTGCCCCTCTTTGTCTCTCATGTCTTTTTTATCTTGAAGTCTACTTTGTCTGATATAAGTATGGCAACACCTGCTTTCTTTTGTTTGCCATTAGCTTGGAGTATCATCTTCCATCCCTTCACTCTAAGCCTGTCTTTGTCT